TGGCTTAATATATGTGTGTGTGTGTGTGTTTATATATATATATATGTATGTAAGTATGTATGTATCACATGACCTGGGTAGATAATACACACACACACATAATATAATATATATATATATATATATATATATAAACACACACACACACACATATATTAAGCCAGGATATGGGAGATTTGGGAGTTCTAGTGCTGTTTTAAGCACAAAGCCAGCGGGGAGATCTTGGGCCAGCCCAATTCTCGTAGCTCTCAGAAACAGGCAATAACAACTCACTCCCCACCACCACAAAAAAAAACCCCTGCCATGGCCTGGAGCCATGACTGACAGGAAGGCAGATTTTTAAAAAGCCACAAAAATATACTGTATACAATCTGCGGGCCCCGTAGGAAGTTAACACCCGCACCTCTCTCAATATCCTGGGAAATATTGAAAAGGCAGAATATTGTATTTCCCTGGATCAGAAAATGGGAGAATCATGTTATTAGGCAGGAAGCAAGAGTCCCTCTTCATAGCCCCCACCTTTGTCAATGGGCCATTAAAAGGCCTGAGCTGGTCTACTCTACATAACAGAGGTAGGGTTAGCCTTCCACAGAAACTCGCCACGTGGCATCTGGGAACTCAGCCAAGCTTGGGACTCAAAAGACACACAGCCTGCAAAGTGGCGGGTTGCGTCACATCTCTCAAAAGGATCTCACACACCCCTCCGATGCACACCTCATAAACACGACAAAATAAATCAAGAAAGAGAAAAACGGTGCACGTGCCCACATCTATGATATGACACAGAGAAACCACACAGTCTAGTTGGGAGATATAAATGTTTATGGCGAGAAAAACGAATCTTGGGAGTTGTACCAGACGGATGGCACAAGGGAACAAAGCTCTTTCAAAATCTGGAAATCCTGCTAGAAATACTTTGAAACCCCCTTCCAAAAGGGAGCAACAGAAAGAGGTCGCAAAGTGTGTGTGTTTGTGTGTGTGTGTGTCTGTCTGTCTGTCTAACAATGTTTTGAGCTCTAAGCAGTATCCTGAATAACGAGAAGTGAGCTTCCTATGATCTTGGTTGTCCTTACCACTCTCTGTAGGGACTTTCTATCTGAGTTGCTGCTGCTTCCACCAAACCAAACCGGGATGCCGGTTTGTTAAGACGCTCTCAAGGGTACCTCTGTAAAAAGTGGCCAGGATAGAAGGAGAAAAAGGGTGCTCTCCTCATCCCACGCAAGAAATGCAGGCGTCACCGCCTTCAGCGCTCCGACGACATTTCCCCGCTCCCGAAAAAAAGAGTCGAGATCCACAACACAGAATAAACCAAACTTTCCTGTTCCTGTCAAGAGTGTTAGATTGCCGTTCTTCTTTGTGGAAACCATTGCTGAATTTTTTTAAAATTTAAAAAAAATGTTGTTTTTTTGAGAAAGAAAGGGGGGGGGGGAAAACCAGCCCGTTTCGTAACAGGAGCCGAACAGACGAGATGCAGAAATTAATTGCATGACTAAGGCGCTCATAATCCATTTTGCCTTGGTGGATCTCCAGGAAAAACAAATCTGTGGAGAATCTGGAAAATATATATATATATTGGGGGGGAAAAAACAAAACTCTATCCTCGTGATGGCAAACCGATGGCACCTGGGTGGAAGTGCCATGCGATGCTATGTTATTATGCTATCCTATCCTATCCTATCCAGGGGTGAGATTCAGCCAGTTCGGGCCGGTTCGGGCGAAGCGGATGTTAATTTTAATATGGTTCGCTAAACCGTTAGTTCCCACAACCGGCTGGCTCCACCCACCCCCTCCCAGGAGTCTCCATGCCAGTGACGCCCCGTTACCTGAGCCTGCCCAGAGCACCGGATACCGTTTCAGTACGGTGCTCCGGAGGGCCCACTCACCCTCCTCCCGAGCTCCTTACCAGTCTTTTAAGTCTTCGGCGCTTCCACACGCGTGCAAGCTGCATACAGTGCCTGCGCGACGCTCCGCTGAGCAGCTGGAGTGTCGCAGAGGCTCACGGAGGCACTAAGACGCGTGCTCACATGCGTGCATCCATGAGGAAGCCCCTGGGCCCGTTCCAACCGGTATGGTTGGAACGGGATCCGGAACTTACCACTGCTCCACGCAGCCTGTTTTGGGTGCCACGGCCCGCATGGAGGCTCCGGGAGAGCGAAAAACGGGCCTCCCGGATGTACCGCAACTCCGGAAACATCTGGAAGGCCTCCAGAGCCCGGAGAAGGCCGTTTTCTCCAGAGCCAAGGTGGCGCAGTGGTTAAATGCAGCACTGCAGGCTACTGCTAGATCAGCAGGTCAGCGGTTCAAATCTCACCGGCTCAGGGTTGACTCAGCC